CGGTCCAGCCTTTCCCCACTTCTTCTTCATCACAAGGTTTAACATCTTGTGCGCCTCTAACTGACGATGATATTCCTTTTCCTCATGCGGCTGCTCCACATATTCCTATCGAGCCCAATCCACCACCTACACCTACTTCAGCTGCACTTGTTCCGTCTCATCCTATGATTACACAGGCACGTGCTGGTATATTTAAGCCTCGATATCCAGTTGACTTGTCTTCTACAACTCTTATATTCGTTCTTATTGTTTCCTCTGCTCCACGTAGATTCAAGTCCACTGCTAAACATCCGGAATGGCTTGCTGCAGTGCAAAAAGAAATTGATGCTCTACGCTCAAATGACAGTTGGAGTTTGGTACGATGCCTTTCGGGCTCTAATATTGTTGACTCCAAGTGGGTTTTTCGTACGAAGTTTCATGTTGATGGCACCATTGAGCGCCACAAAGCTCGTTTGGTTGCTCAAGGTTTTACTTAAGTCCTTGGAATCGACTTTAATCATACTTTCAGCCCTGTTGTTACAATTTGATGGAAAAGGCAACCCAAAGCAACATATAGCACACTTTTTCGAGATATGCAACGATGTTGGAACATATGGAGACCTCTTAGTTAGACAATTTGTGCGGTCACTAAAGGGCAAGGCCTTCGACTGGTACATCGACTTAGAGGCTGGTTCCATCGATAATTGGGAACAACTAAAGTACGAGTTCTTGAATCGGTTCTACAGCACAAAGAGAACCATCAGCATGACCAAACTCACTAACAACCGCCAATGGAAAGATGAGCTAGTAATCGACTACATCAACCGTTGGAGAAGTCTAAGCCTCAACTGCAAAGACTGTCTGTCCAAGGCTTCCGGCATAGAAATGTGCATTCAAGGAATGCATTGGGGCTTGAAACACATCCTACAAGGGATCCGACCCCATATTTTTTAACAACTCGCCACTCGTGCTTATGATATGGAATTGAGCATGATGTCTAGTGGAATATATGGACCGCCTACTGAAGTTTTCTCAGATAACGAGAAATACAACACTTCCAATAGTGGGGCATTTATACCTTCACCACCCCTGTAAATGAGGATAAACTTTCTTCACTCTCCTAGAAACGAGGATAAACTTTCTTTACCCTCCTAGAAACGAGGATAAACTTTCTTCACACTCTTAGAAACAAGGGTGAACTTTCTGCAATCTCCTAGAAATGAGGATAAACTTTCTTCAATCTCCTGGAAACGAGGATAAACTTTCCGCAATATCCTGGAAATGAGGATAAACTTTCTTCATTCTCCTAGAAACAAGGATAAACTTTCTTCAGCCTCCTAGAAACGACGATAAACTTTCTGCAGCCTCCAAAAATGAGGATCAACTTTCTACAGTCTCCTAGAAATGAGGATAAACTTTCTTCAATCTCCTAGAAACGAAGATAAACTTTCTACAGGACTCCTTAACACGAGAATAAACAGTTTAACAAAAACAAACAAATTCAATTTATTTTGAACTACGTTATGACTTGATTCCTTCACCGGATACGTAGGCAACTTGAAATATAACTCTGTGTACAGTCGATTATGTCAAAAAAAACCCTAAAAAATAAATTGGGTTAAAAAAAAGTCCAAAAAAATCAGGCTTTAAAAAAAATCATTTGGAAAAAAAAAATTATGTCCAAATAAAATGCAAAAAAAAAAAATGGCAAAAAAAAAGTTTCAATCAAAAAAAATAAATAAATTGACTTATATTTCGAGACTCATTCACGCCTTAAACGTTTTGCGTCGGCTTAAACAAGTCTCGAGGGGGCATTTTGTAGGCATTAAAAATTAAATACCTAAATTAAATTAAATATCATGTATTTTGAAAAAAATAAAATTCTAATAAAATAAATATATGGTATTTAATTATGCACATATGTTAATTTTTGTACAATAAATATCAACCATTAATGCAAAAATCTGCTAAAATGGAAGATATCGTACAAATATTACGTGCATAAATAGAGCCATAATAAATTTGGCAGCAAAATAAATTAATCTTGTCAATAAAGGAAGTATATAAATTAATATCTTCCGAAAAAGGCAATGATATAAAGATCTTGGCGGGAAAGGAAGATGCACATTCAAATATGTAAAGAATGGAAAACAACATCTGATGAAAAATAAAAGATTATAAAATCTTTCTATTGGCCAATCAGGACGCGTCACGTGGCACAATTCAAAAAGGAAGCCGAGGTCACCTCTCCCCTATAAATAGGAGTCATGGCCAATTCATTTGAGACATCGAAGTTACATCGAGGATTGAAACAAAGCGGTAAGTCTCTAGACTCTTTTTGTATTGTTCTTTGTGTCCTTCAAAGCGTTCTTTGTCGAAAGTCATTGCTTTGAAAAATGATCCAATATTGCTTGACGAATCGATGGAGTTAACGTTCTTCGTCGTATGTCCAAGCCGGAGGAAGGATCAAAGCTCCCAAAGCCATTGAGAAATTCGTCAAAGCCAAGGAAAGGTCTCTAAAGTTCCTCTAAAAGCTTCAAGATGTTCATCACGTTCTTCAACAAAGCATCAACTAGGTCCTCTTCGATCCAAAAGCCAAAGGGACACGCCGCAAAAAATATTATGGAGCACCAAAGCCACCTTTTCAAGAACCAAAGTTCCAAAAGCAGTTGAAGAATCCATCAAAGCCAAGAAAAAGCATCAAAAGTTCATCCAAAGCTTCAAGGTGTTCATCGTGTTCTTCACCAAAGCATCAACTAGGTCATCTTCGATCCAAAAGTGAAAAGGACACGCCGCCAAAAGTGTTATGGAACACCAAATCCACCTCTTCAAGGATCAAAGCTCCAAAAGCCGTTGAAGAATCCATGAAAGCCAAGGAAGAGAATCTAAAGTTCATCCAAAGCTTCAAGGTATTCATTGCATTCTTCAACAAAGCATCAACTCGGCCCTCTTCGATCCAAAAGTCAAAGAGACATGCCGCCAAAAGTGTTATGGAGCACCAAATCAACCTCTTCAAGGATCAAAGCTCCAAAAGCGATTGAAGAATCCATCAAAGTCAAGGAAGAGCATCCAAAGTTCATCCCAAGCTTCGAGGTGTTCATCGCGTTCTTCACCAAAGCATCAACTCAGCCCTCTTGGATCCAAAAGTCAAAGGGACATGCCACCAAAAGCGTTATGGAGCACCAAATCTACCTCCTCAAATATCAAAATCGCGGATTGTCCAAAGAAGACATCAAATCCAAAGTCGATGATCAAATCGCCCACATGGAGACCAAAGTCCTCCAAAAGCGGTAAAGTCAAATCAAAGATCAAAGCCTTGGGCCGTCCAAAGAAGATATCAAGTTCAAAGCTTATGATCGAATCGCCCACACGGAGACCAAAGCTCTTCAAAAGGCGCCAAAGCCAAATCAAATATCAAGGCCTCGGATCATTCAAAAAAGACATCTAATCCAAAGGCAACGATCAAATCGCCTACACGGAGACCAAAGCCCTCTAAAAGAGGTAAAGCCAAAGCAAAGATCAAGGCCATGGATCGTCCAAAAAAGACATCAAATCCAAAGCCAACGATCAAATCGCCCACACGAAGACCAAAGCTCTCCAAAAGGCGGCAAAGCCAAAATAAAGATCAAAGTCTTGGATCGTCTAAAGAAGACATCAAATCCAAAGCCGATAATTTAATCGCCCACACAGAGACCAAAGCCATCCAAAAGGCGGAAAAAGTCAAACCAAAGCTCAAAGCCTCGGATCGTCTAAATAAGACGTCAAATCCAAAGCCAATGATCAAATTGCCCACATAGAGACCGAAGTCCTCCAAAAGCGGCAAAGACAAAGCAAAGCTCAAAGCCTCGGATCGTCTAAAGAAGACATCAAATTCAAAGGTGATGATCAAATTGCCCACACAGAGACCAAAGCTCTTCAAAAAACGACAAAGCCAAATAATGATCAAAGCCTCGGATCTTCCAAAGAGGACATCAAATCCAAAGCCGACGATCAAATCGCCTGCACGGAGATCAAAGCCCTCCAAATTTCGGCAAAATCAAACCGAAGACCTAATCTCTTCATAAAAAACCAAGTTGGAAAACAAATCGACCCAGAAAGGAGAATCAAATGACCCATTTAGATAATAGGACCCGCTTTAAATTTAAATCAAATATAATTTGTACAAATTTTATTTTTATTAAAAATAACATTATTTTTTGTCCACAGAGTCAAGTCTTCGATTTTACGGTGACAAAATGGCCGGCGATAGTCTTTGACGGGGAGGACGAAGACAAGTGAAATCAAAAGGAGGGAAAAAATAATTGTGAGTAAAACGATTATAGTGAAAGATTGATTTATTTACTAATTAATGAATTAAGAAAGATTAATATATATATATATATAAATTCTGAAAATTTATTTGTTCCAAAAAAAAAATTCATTTACTATGGATAATCTTTTTAAAATTGACAATATTAATATATTAGGATATAAAAATCTTAAATTCATTCCATAAGTAATAATCATATATTTTAATATAAAATATCATATTGTTATTATATATAGACAGTATATGTACCAATTAACAACATCATCTCGCTGCAAATATATAAATATTGGATAATGATTAATTAATAATGTTACTATCGCCATCCCAAAAAGAGACTCTATCCCGGAAAGAGACAACCGTTTGTTTTTTTTTTTTTTTTTTACGTAGATTTTTTAACATAAGTATTATATTAGTTTATAGTGAAAAAACAAAAAAAAAACAAAAAAAACAAAAATATCACTATTAGATTGTGTGATATAAAGTAATGACATTTGTTTAATATCTTAAAGTTGTAATAGTATAATTATGTTAGGTAGATAGTACAATTACTAAATTAGAAAATAATATCCTTGTTTAGGACGGCCAAAAATGAAAAATGGTATCCTTTACGGGACGGATGGAGTATTATATTTTGAATAGATTTTATTTCCAAATATAACATATTTATTTAATGTTAATTCATTTTCTTAATTAAAATGACATTAAATCAACTTTATTTTAATTGGTAAACTACCATCGATTAAAATTTATATTGGTCCAAAGAAATAAAAAAATTCAATATTATGCTGAATTTTGCATAAGCTAAAGCATCATAACGAGCAGTCATTCAACATAATGAAGATAAACACAGCCAATGTTATGTGCATGGATCAACAGCTGAGCTGAAGATATGTTCTGGCCATTGGATGAGTAGCCTGAGAGAGTCGATGAGGTTGGAGGGTTTCGAGAATCTGACCATCGACGAGTAGGCAGACGACGTCAGCAATTCTCTGTATCTGTTTGATGCTGTGGGAAACCATTACAATGGTCATGCCCTTATCCTTCTTCAGCTTTACCAGCACATCTTCCACGTTCTGCGTCGATATCGGATCCAGCGCGCTCGTCGGCTCGTCCAGCAGAAGAACCTACACCAACAATTAACTATATCAAAATTTTGTTTTCTTTTTTTTTTTTTTTTTTTTTTGGATAACGTGGGAACGAAAGTGCGCATTGAGTAAACTCCGGCCAAAACTTAATACCCCGCAAAACCAGATGAACACGACTTAGATTACTTATTCTCAAACCCCAGTTTTAGTTACTAATTTCTTTGATGTGTTATAATTATTGAAGTTTGATTCAAAATTGCACCACACCCATAGTTTAATGTTGGTTACGGCTCACTTAAATTTGTCGTTATTTTCTATTTTTTTGAAAAATAATTATAGATTATAATGGCATTTATAATTTTTGAATATTAAATAAATAATTATTTATCTTAATTTTAATTATTTGTATTAAATAATAATTAATTTTTACTAATATATTTTTTAATTATTTACTAATAGTACATTTGTATAGATTCTTGTTTAAGTGAGTATTATTATTTTCTAAATTATTGCATGTTTAATAGGTTATTAGTAAACTTTATTTTAATTGTGTACTATGGTTTATTAGGCCACCCACATCAACTCCCCACATCATCATTAATTTATAAAAATAAGTTTTTTTTTTTTCAAAAAATAAAAAATAAAAGGTACATTTGTTTTGTAAAAAGATTTAAATAGATATTCTTTATTTAAAGTATAAAAAATTATTTAAATAATATAAAAATAATAAATATATATAATATATTAAGTTTTTGTAAAAGATATAATAAAAAAATTTCACCAAAAGAACACATCACAAATCAAATAATAATTCCACCTCAAGAGCAGGGGGTTTCTGCCCAGCAATCCTTGAGCAACTTTGATTCATTTTTATTATCTATGTCCCAATTTATAAAGTAATTATATGTGTTAGTTATTTTTTTATACCTTATTTTAATCATATGTATATATTAATATTTTTACTTTTTATAAAAATTTTATTTTCTGCTAAACATTAAATTTATGATTAACTGAATATATTTAATAAATCATAAGATGATTAGAACTGAGCTGGGAGGTTGACGTAAAACTAGAAGAGTGGAGAGAAGAAGAGAATTTTTAGTGTTGTGTTTAGAACGAAGGGGGAAGCCTTTTATATAGGCATCTCCACTCGGTCAAAATGGCAGGGGATAAATTACGATCATAATTACGATCTTATTTATTCTAAATTCAAACATTTTGTTTGAAGTAATCGTAATTGGTTCTAATTACAAACTTTCCGTTTGTGACAATCGTAATTTATTCTAATTTCAAACATTCCGTTTGAAACGATTGTAATTTATTCTAATTTCAAACATTCTGTTTGAGATTATAATAAATCTATCTAACAGATAATATTTTATCCAAATAATACTGCGACTTAGGCCATATACTCTAGTTTAATTTGAAAAAGTATTATTATTTAAATTATTTCAAAAATAAATAATTAAATGATCTAGAGGAAAGATGTTTTAAAATTTGTGTAAATAATTTTTTTGATGTAAAATGTAAAATAATATGAATTTCTCGATATGTGAAAAAAAAAAAAAAAAAAAGACAAACCCATATAGTGGGTTAATTAAGTCATTGTAGTGGAATTGTATGGTTGTTGTGTTCGGTTGCAAACACAAGTCCCACATTGGAAGTTGTGAAGAAAATTACATATCTTATAAGTTCCATGCCACCCAATCTATTTCACCATCTAACCGGGTTCTGATACCACTGTTGGGACTGGATCAACTCAACACTAGTATGATATTGTCCGTTTTGGCCTGAGCCCGCACGGATTTGTTTTTGGATATTCTCCAAAATGCCTCATACTAGTGTTGAGTTGGCCCAGTCTCAACGGTGGTATCAGAGTCCCGTTAGATGGTGAAGTGGACTGGGTGGCATTGGGCATTGGTTGTGGTGGTGGGCTCGCCCTCGTGATCTGCGGATGTGCCTTGTGTCGAAAGTCTCCTGGCGGTGTTGGGTCAGCCCGATTGAGGTGGTCAGGCAGCGAGTCCCTTTGTGATAGACGGTACAAGGTGGGCAGGAAATGTCCATTGGTTGGTCCTTGGTTTGAGGGGAGGATTGTTGGGTTGCAAACCCAAGTCTCACATTGGAAGTTGTGAAGAAAATTACACACTTTATAAGTCTCAAGTGAACTCCACTAAAAAATAAATCCGTACGGGCTCAGTTCAAAGCGGACAATATCATACTAGTGTTGAGTTGACTCAGTCCCAACATGCTGGAGCTTTCTTATCGTGATCCTCTAAGGCTATTACGTTTTTGTTTTTTAGTACAAAAGTTCAACATTTTTATCTAGACAGCCTTGATTTATGTTTTGTTGGAATATATGAACATTGCGAGAATAAACTCTACCGTGAAATCGAGTCGAGGATAAATCCTCTTTCCAAAAATCAGATACGCCCCACTAGTGTCTCTGGTGGCCGGCGCTCTAACCCAAAGATAAAACAATTTCTGTCTCCAATGAGAGTGGTACCTCTAATCGTTGGAGCTCCGGCGAACAAAAATGAGAGAGAAACTAAGCTAGGGAGATTGCCGGAAAGCTAGAAGAGAGGAGAGAAGAATGAGAGAATTGTTGGTGTTGTGTTTAGAACGAAGGGGGAGACCCTTTATATAGGCGTCTCCACTCGGCCAAAATGGCAGGGGATCAATTACGATCATAATTACGACATTAATTATCGATGTTATTTATTCTAAATTCAAACCTTGCGTTTGAAGCAGTCGTAATTGATTCGAATTACAAACTTTCCGTTTGTGACGATCGTAATTTATTTTAATTTCAAACATTCTGTTTGAAATGATTGTAATTTATTCTAATTTCAAACCTTCCGTTTGAGATTATAATAAATCCAACGGATAATATTTTATCTAAATAATACTGTAACTTAGGTCATATACCCGGGTTTAATTTGGGGTTGCACAATTTGATTTGTCTCGAGACAGACAAAATAGCCAAAATATTAACCAAACTCCATATACAATAAATAAATAATATTATTTATTTTTATTCTAAATTAATCTAATTAATTTGGTATACCAACCCGTCGCATTTTCACTCACAAAATAATCGAGGTAGATAATTCATATATAGCAATTGACGGAATCAAATGATAAGAGTGAAGCTATATACAAAGAGTATCACGAGATAGAAAAGTTGAAGGTGGTGCATGGAAATGAGAAGGAGCTCTAACTCAAACACAAAGATACGGTTGTGCTTAAACTAGCCGTGGTAAACTCAAGACTCTTAAGGGTGTATTTTTTTTGGTTGGTTTGAGAAAATTTGGGTTTGGGTTTAAGTTTGATTTTTATTTGAATTTTAAGATAGGTTTGAGTTTTTGTGTTTCTTTTGTATTTGTGTTTTGTTTGGGTTTGGGGAGTTTTGATATGTAATGATTTGATGGATAATGAATATAATAATATAAATGTGTATTAAATTTAATTGATAAAAAACTAATAGTAGTATAATTTGATTATGAATTTATAATATATCAAAACATATATATTTTTAAAATTTTACTTATTTGTATTATAAAAAAATTTATTCTCTATAATTATTATGAATATTAAATAAATTATTATTTAAATATGTTAACAAGAAAAAAAAAAAAAGAAAAAGATTACAAACAAACACAGCTAAAAGCCTCCATGATGCAGATGTTGTCGGCTGGGGAGATGCGAGGGCGGTTTCGCGGGCAAATGACTGCACAATAAATGCACAGTAATATTTACCAAACCGTCCCTGCAGAAACACCCCTAAATATTGTTTATTTTGTGTCCACCCCTCTTTATTCTTCTCTAATACCTATTGCATTTCCAATTACCTTTGAATTTAATTTATGTTGATTAATTAGTTGACCAGGGCCTTACTGTGATGTTTTCTTCTTCCCGTGTGTAGGTTTAGAATTAAAAAATCGGAAGAACTATCAGAATTGGTTGAAAAGAATGCCTCTTATTTGAGCTTGAGTCAGCTTCAATTTTCTTGTTCTTACATTTATTTTATTGCTAAACTTACAAGGTCTTGGTTTTAATGTAATCTTTATTTAGGTAACGAGTCTTCAAATAAACTATGTCTGAGAAGTTGCAATTTTTGAAGAAAACAATACGTAGAATATGGTTGTTATTCTTCTCGATAAGAAATCTATTGGTTGTAAGTAGATGTTTTGGATTAAAACATACTATAATGGATTCATCGAACGGTACAAGATTCATTTGGTAGCCGAAGTCTATACACATTAGTTTTTTTTTTTTTTTTTTTTTATCTATTTTTGTGAGACTCCTCCTCAAATGCATGCCATAGCATTGCTTGTTGTTTGTTATCTATTGTCGTTGTTCGTCAGCAGCCATTTCTCCAATTGAATATCAAGAATACATTCTCATATTTCTATTTTATGTTGTTGGCCTGCCCTTAGGTTCTCTCTCATCTTCTGAGGATTGTAAACTACGCTGTACTTTGTACGATTTAAAACGGGCTCCCCGTGTGTGGTTTGCAAAGCTTAGCTCTATTCTTCATCATCTTCGCTTTACTTCCAATTATCACGATTTTGCGCTATTCATTCATCGTAGTTCAACTAGGATTACTATTGTGTAGCTCTATATAGATGACATATCATCACTAGGGATGATTAGTATGAAATTTCAGAGCTGGAGATCACTTGGATTGGCACTTTAAGATAAAGATCTTGAAGATCTTGGGACCTCACCGGTATTTTTTGAACTTTGAGATTTCTGACACCTCGAATGGGTACTATCTTTCTTAGGCCGAGTATGGCTTTAATCTTGTATCCTGAGTGTGTCTTTCTTATTCCGAAATTTCTCGTATGCATTTTGATTTGAACTGTTGCATTTGAGGAGGAGTCTATTAATTGTTTGTTGTTTTCCATCCAGGTTTCATCGAACGGTACAAGATTCATTTGATAGCCGAAGTCTATTACGTTGCTCAGGCTTCATAAATACTCACCTTGTTTGTTGTTTTCCATCTATTAATTGTAATCTCTAACGTATTTCGACAGTCTCACATTGACTTTGGGAGAGGATGTTAGTTAATATATAAATTAATTTGAATGTTTATGTTAATAGTAAATCCCAAGATGTATTATGTACATACGTACTTATGTAACACCGGAGTTTAATTAAAAAATATCAATTATTTTTGCAATCCTAATATTACAATACAAATATATACACTATTTTGATTGATTTTTGTTTAAAAGCAAAAACGGCTTTTGAACTCCAAATTTTTTTTTTTTTTTAAATCCTTTTAGGAAATGCTTGTTGAAAGAGGAGAATAAAAAAAGAAAAAGCAACTTTAAAACTTAAATTTCTACTTTATCATTTAATAATAATAATAATATACTAAAAAAAAGTTTAAATTTAGCTTAAAAAAAATTTTGTAGCAAAAGATAATAATTTATAGTAAAAATATTTTTGCGACGAAATTCATTTCATCGTCTATACCGCATTAGTGAAGGTTTTTGGCGACAAATATGACTTTCGTAACAAAAAAAAAATACGTTTTTTGCAATGAAAATTAAGAAAAGATATATATCTATGAAAATATGATTTTGTAGTTAAAACTCTTTCGCTATAAAATTAAAATTCATAACAAAATAGTTTTAGTAACAAGATATGTATGATTTTTTAGCCAAATAATTTTAGTTATGAAAAATAATTTTGTAGCTAAAACCTTTTTTCTATGAAGATAGAATTTTCTAGCAAAAAAAATTTAGCAACGAAATTAATTTTATAATACATAATTTATTTTTAACGATAAAATTAATTTTTGTAGCTAAACGACACGTTTTAACTATAAAAATATTTCGTAGTTAAAAAAATTGTAGCTAATTAGATATTTTTTGTAGTGATAATAGTAATAATAATAATAAATAACATAAAATAATAATTAAAATTAAAAAATAATTGTATTTAATTCTTAAGTTATTGTGACGCTCTGATCCGCTGGCTTAATTTTAGAGTTCTTTTAGTATGACTTATGAAAAGGAACGTACACATTATTGACTTGACTAGACTATTTAATCAATTTAACCTCTAATCAACTTTGTATGGCCTAATATCGGCTTATCCACACACGAGAGTTTGGCCAAACAACGACCCAACTCCGGGGTATCACATTCTCCCCCGCTCTAGAATGCAACGTCTACGTTGCACCCTAAGGATTGTCAACTACTAGGCCCGTCAAAAGTCCAGTCAACAACTGCGTCGCAGGTCGGCTCTGATACCAACTGTGACACTTCGGTCTGCAAGCCACGCAAAGTCGAGCATATTGGAATTGAGGACAAAAGCGCGCTGGAATGACTCATATTGATCTGTGGGGCCAGTCAGCACTCCCGATGCGCTCGACTTTGTGTGGGTTGCGGGCCGAAATGTCACAGTATATAATAATTTACAAGATATAATTAATAAATCAAATTTTAAAAATATAATAGTAGAGTTGTTTCTAATATTAAGGTTAATTAGTTAATGTTTCTAATGTACTAGAGTTGTTATATGCATAGTAGATGAATTAATTAATTAATTGGAATTGGAATTGGAATTGAAATTGAAATTATTTATTGGCTGGTTAATTCAATTGAATAGTATTATCTCGTCATTTAAATCTATACTCATTTTTTCTTTTGGGTTGTTATTGAAAAATATCATCATTTTTTTTTAAGTAAAAAATTATTATATTTCTATATTTTTTTACTAAAAAAAAGTAATCATTATTATTAATTTTTATTAAAATTCGTGAATGAGCACACATTTGAGACTATTAAAATGATTTGAATAATGAGAAGGTGGTACCTGTGGTTCATTAGCCAAGGCCCTTGCAAGAGCAACCCTCTGAGCTTGTCCGACGGACAATTCCGCGCCAGATTTGGAGGCGAAAGATGAATCGAGATCCGCAAGCGACAACAGCTTGTACACCTCCTCATCGCTCAGCTTCTTGCCATGAAGCTGCGGTCCGTACCTGACGTTGTCCGCAACCGTGCCTGCAGACAAACGAAATACATTTATAGATAGAGAGATAGACAGACAGACAGACAGACATTGAATGAATTAAGTACCAAGTACAACCTTGAAAGAGCACGGGGATCTGGAAAAGCATGCCCACTTGGCGGCGGAGGGTGAGCACGTCCATGTCGCAGATGTCAACGCCGTCCAAGAACACGGTGCCGCGATCGGGCTCCCATAGCCGATTCAGGGCCCGCAGGAACGTTGACTTGCCGCTCCCGCTCGGACCGATCACCCCGACTATCACCCCCCTCCCAATGTCAGCGTTGACTTCTTTCAGGATTCTTTCTCCCTTGTCCCCCCGCCTTGTCAGCCCCCTCACCTCCACCTTCGGATCGTCTTTTCGGACATTCAACAGATGCTCCAGCACTTGTTCCTCATCTGACATTCCTCAAATCAAATCAATCCAATCCAATTCATGAGCTAGAAAGAAACCTAACACAACACAACACAACACAAGCCCCAAACAGCAGACCTTTGAAATTACCCGATGCCGCCATTCGATTCGTAAGTATGTTGTCCTAGCTGCTGCTGCTGCTTCTTCGGAATATATCTATATAATTAGGTTCTTTCTCGCTTTACTTATGATAACTGGAGTGAACCGTTATCAGTAAAACCTTCCCCAGGTGTGTGTGTGTGTGAGAGAGAGTGAGAGAGAGAGAGAGAGAGAGAGAGGGATAGGAATAATTAGTAAACAGCTGGACAGGAGTTGCCTGGCCGTACACAAGGTGTGGCTAAACATTAAAATATTCCCCGGACCTCAACTCCTGAAAATAGATAGAGAGATCTGCGACGTACATGGTGGGACGCAAATAACGAACGGCGTCCATTGGTGCGGCTAAACATTAATTAATATCCACTTTTTTTTTTTTTTTTTTTTTTTTTTTTATGGGATAAATTATATAACACATCTTCCTATTTTATTAAAATGCATAAAATATTATATGTTTTATTTTATTGTGTGAAATTTTTTATATTAATGTAAAGTTTGCATAAAATACCTATTATATTTGATTTTAAATAAATACTTAAACTACGCAAATTTTATACATATGAAAAACGTAAAATATCTTAAATATTTTTTTAAATAATTGATCAAATAATTTATGTTTATAGTTTTTATAACAGTTAGATAACAATTTTGTCTCAAAAAATTATAAAATAAAAGATTAATCAATTAATTATTTATTTATTTTGTTTAAAGAAATTATTTAAGATATTTAGCATTTTTTATTTATATAAAATTTGCGTAATTTATGTATTTATTTAGAATCAAAATATCAGTTTTTGATAAGAATGACGTTTCGTGTTCATTTTAGTCCGTCTCATAACAAAGTATCAATTTCTTTTTTAAGTAACGGTATTATCTATCTAACGTTACAGATGCTCTTACAACTTACAATATATTACACAAATATCATTACCTTTATATCACACAAGTTATTTTAATTATTTTTATTTTATTTCTACTATATTTGATATAATATTAATATTTTTAAAATTACGTGCAAAAATAAATAAATATTTAATTATGCGACGGAGGGAGTATAATTTACGACGATAAACATTAATATTCGCTAACTTTAGTCGTCCCTATTTGGGCAAGAATCAAAACCATTAAACACTGCTACTTGACATTCTCTTTTCGCATTTATTCTTCTGTCATCACATAACGCGCACGTGTGTGGGGTGGCCGCACTGATTTTGCTTTATTTCATCCAAAAAAAAGTTAGAATGGAATTCAAAATGAATTCATGTCCATCTTTTTGTCCCGTAACAAAATATTAATTTTTTTTTTTTATTTTAGCATGTTTTATAATATTATGTATCTAATATTGCAAATACCCTTACAATTTATAATATATTATATAAATATCATTACATTTATATCACACATACTAACAAGGTTATTTTAATTATTTTTACTTTATTCATACTATATTCCAATATAATAGTAATATTTCTAAAATTACGTATAAAAAACAAATGAATATTTATTTATGGGACGAAGGGAGAAGTTGAAACTCAATCACCTTTTCATAAAATTAAACTTCTTGTTTTCGTATTTTATTCACCGAAAAGAGGTTCTGCCCGTGAGACGCAAAATGCATAAAGTAAGAATACCAATACTAATGTGCCGCAACTTTTGTTAGCTTGATTATGCATAATATTTGGTATCTTTTCTACAATGGAGTTTTAATTCAGGTAGTTCGGATTAGAAATCTAAAATTTTGGATAGTATTTTATATTTTCCGACTCGACCTAAAACTTTTCAAGCACTGGAAATGTAAGGTACCCGATATCTTTGAATTTGGATACCTTAATTTTTTATTTTTTTATTTTTACTTTGATTTTATTTTTATGTTAAAAAGATAGTTCTACTATATTTTAAATATAAATAAACTATTTCATGCATATAAAATTATTAGTGTTAAATTTTTAACTATGAATAACTCAAAAGTTATAAATATATAAAATAACATATAATGATGTAAATGTATAATTATAAATTTAAAATTTTCCATTGTTAGATAAAATTGAGTGTGGTATCTTAAACTTTTAGTATATCTTAATTATTTAAAATTAGAGAAATAATAAAAAAATTATTTAATAATATTATTAATATAATATTCAATCAATGTATATATATTGTAAAAATATGAAATAAATATAATATACATTGTATTAAAAATCTTATAATCTCACTCTTACCCCAACTAATTACTATTATAAATAATAACCTATGGAAAAATATAACATTAAAACAAATTCGACTACCCGATCGGGTTTTAGGTATAAAAATCTATACCCAATGCCTGACCTAATTTATTTTATCGGGTACCAAAAATCCAAAATTTATGTTTTTGTAAAAAGACACAGACTCCATTAATCCAAATCCAATTGGATTAGGTCAGACCCTAACTACCCGACCCGAATGTCCACCACTAATTTTAGGACAAGATTAAATATTTATGCAAACTTTCCTTTTTTCTAAAAAAAAAGAAGTAATAGTCATATTGAAAATAACTCTGACATAATTACTATTTTCAATATTTTATCACTTTAGAAAAACTAACAATTGTTAAATCTTGCAAATTTCAAAAGAATTTATCCAAAATGGTAGAATCAACGAATTTCTGATTTGATCATTTTTTTTAATTAATACTACTAATTAGCAAATAAAAAAATTTCATTTTCCTTAATTACTATTACTAATTACAAAAGAAACTAATTAATACATACCATATATTTTAAAACTTCTAACACTTGCATCAAATAAAAATCAAATCAGATTTGATCATTTTCTTTAATTAATACTACTATTTACCAAAAAAAAATAAACTAATACAATGTTAATTAAATGACACAGATTGATTTAAAATTTTAATTTATATTTTAGGTAACTACATTAATAATTTTGTTACCATAAAAAGTCTAAATTTAATTTTATATTTTGAGAGTTTTAATATGGATACAAATAATTACTCCAAATATAAAAATAATTTATATTAAAATTAATTATCTATTTTATTAATAAAATATTAAATTAATAAAATAACTCATTCTGTTTTAAAATAAATAATTAGGAGGGGGAAAGATAATTTAATTTAATTTTTTTTTTGTTATATGGAAAATAATAATACAGTAGTATTTTTTAGTTATAAAAATTTGAAAAATTATTACCATATTTAAACCAAACTTTATAACGGTAAGGAAGAAACTAGAAAGAAGCACGAGAGAGGGATGGAAACGGAGAGAAGAGAAAGTCCAGAGAGAAGAAGAGAGGAAATCGATCATGGAAGAGACTGTCTTCCGTCGTCTACGCCGGTCCTCGGCCGGCGGGCGATCAGAGAGTACGTCGTCCCTAATCATCCGTTTTAGGTTTTTCCATTTTAAATTCAATCTGCTTCTTCATTCGATTTTTTCATTTTTCTTTAATCGAATCGGTTCGATTTTACAAGTTTCTTTTTTTGATTGCAGAAGAAGATCGAGAGAAAGGAGAAAGACCAACGCTTTGCCCGGCCTTAGTTCGTTCTGCTCTGCCCACAGGACTGCTGTAAGTTGGGTTTTCTGTTCATTTTGGATTCGATTGGTCTGCTTTTGCAATTTCTTGTTTGGGGCTCATGGACTTTATATTTCCCCCTTCCAGGATATAACTATGTGGATACATTGTTATTTCACTTGCCATCCATTACTGTTTGAACCTTGCCGAGCTTAATATTTTATTTCCTTCGTATGTGAGAACTTTGTGCCTGGAGCATTCAATATTTATATATTTTTTTCATGTGTGATGTTAAATCTAAATTGACATTCCAGAACTTGCCTCGAAATGCATGTTGAACACACATGAGGACCTGATATAAGTAAGATGATGGGGGGCATTAACTATACCTACTTGGCTTAAATTATCCTACCCAAAAATTTTATCCACTATTTAACAGTGTTGAGCCTTTTTATAATCTTTTCATTATTCAATTAATCATTAATCCTTTAGCCATATACCATTTTTTGGATTTATATCTTATATTGATCCTTGTGTCGAAGGAAGAGTGGAAGTTTTATGGCTATCACTTATATTCTTTTTGTATACAATGTAGAGAGGGAAAGTATAGCACTGTTGATGTTTACAAAAAAGAAAATAAGAAAAGGGGCTAGACCCCAACAGAAAAAAAAAAAAACAAAAAAAAACAAAGTGCTGAAAAAAAGTACAAAAAAACAAAAAGAAACAAAAAGTATTGGAGTTACGGTTACCAATATGATGTTGATTTCAGTTCTTACAAGTGATATGCTTTAATTCTTTCCATTGTTGTTTCGACACTTTTTAGCCGTTCATTATCTTCTTTCTACCTATACCTCACGTTTAAAGACCCCCTGATACTAGTCATTAGGTCCCTTTAAGTGAGTGAGATATGATTGACATGCAAGCCTATGGGATTGTCATTTTTATGATTTAACTTGAGTGCATACACTTAACCATGGTGAGGTTTGTTGAGCTCAGCTTGGTTCACTCATTATTATCCACTTAGCTGTGATGCCGGGTGAAAGATTGGAGTGCATTGTTCACGGTAAGTTAACTATACTTTAATTGAAATACTTTCAACGAATATATATTTTTCATGTATTTTATTATAAAAGAACTATTGCATTGCAACTCAGATAATTCGTTTATAAGTATGCATGGTTCTCATTAATGTTTTCTTTATAATGCAGTACCACAATGAAATGCAGTGCCTACTCAAAGAAATTAACAAAAACAAGGAGAGAGAAAAAATCAGAAAAAAAAACCGATAAAGAAAGAAATGAAAAAACGGAAAAAAAAGAGAAAAAAAAAAAAAAAATTCAATCAAAGTGCAGATATCGAACCTGTTGGGTGCTGTGAAAGAAAACATGAAAACAAAGTAGGTACATATAATTTTGTTTAATTTCACTAAATTCCATTGGTTGTTAGTTCTTTTAGTAATCACATATGGTTCTTTTACATCAACAGGAAGTAAATGAACTCATTAGGCCAAAGCATCCTTTGTCGGCCTTCATCTACTCGGACAAGTGCCAAGCTGCATTAATTGTAAAAAATAAGAACATTGTGGAGGTAAACTGGCTTAGTTTGTTTTCTACTTTTTATGTCTTTTAACTGGGTTGATTTGGAGTAGAATCAAACTAACATTTGAATTGTCTAAAACCAGATTGGATATGCAATACTTACCCAAAGAAAGTAAAAAAAAAAAAGAAAGAAAAAAAAGAAAAAAATGAAACAAAAAAGAAATCCAATCCAAATGCTCACTTCAAAAAAGAAATGAAAAAAAAAAAACAGAGAAAAAAGAAAAAGAATAGAAAGAGAAAAAAACAAAAAAAATTGGAAAAAAAGAAAGCTGTGAAAGAAAACAAGAAAAAAAAGTAAGTATATATGAATTTGTTTAGTTTTACTAAATCCTATTGGTTGTTAGTTTGTTTAATAATCATATATGGTTCTTCTACATAGATAGGAAGGAAAAGGACCCATTACAGCCGAAACATCCTATTTTGGCTTTCATCTACTCGAACAAGTGCTGAGCTACATTGATTTTAGAGAATAAGAACATTGTGGAGGTAAATTGACTTGCTTGGTTTTCTAATTTCTACTTCTTTTAAGTGGGTTTATTTGGAGTTGAATCAAACTAGTAATCATATATGGTTCCTTTGCATAGACATGAAGGAAAAGGAGTTAAGGACCCATTAAAGCTGAAACATTAATGTTGGCCTTCTTCTACTTGAACAAGTGGCAAAGCTATATTGATTGAAGAGAATAAGAATATTGTCGAGGTAAATCTAGCTTGCTTGGTTTTCTAATTTCTGTATCTTTTAAGTGGGTTGGTTTGGAGTTAAATAAAACTAATATTCTAATTGTCTAAAACCAGATTGTGAAGACTGCCGGTGAGGGATGAACATGAAGGATACGCTTCAAAAGTATGGTCTGGCTAATTTGTTGAAGTTAAGAAGAGATAATCATCCTCTTTTGGATGCCAAAGCTAAAAAGGTAAGTGTTTGGGCAGGAGATGGTTTATCATTGGCTTATTTTTGTGTTACAGTTTGCAAGTTTGTGTTTTTCTTATTGCTATTCTTACTGTATGATTTTGTAAAGAGATTAAAAATAAAAGGTTAAAAAAAAAAGAGCTGGAAAAGGAAAAAAATTGAAAAACAAATGGAAAAAAAATGAAAAAAAAAAAAAAAAATAAAGAGAAAAAATGAGAAAAAGTGAAGGAGAGAAGAAGAAAACTGAAAAAAAAGCCAACCTGATGTTGACTTCAAGGAGATGTTGAACCTGCTGGCAACAAAATGGAAGACAATTAGAGAAGTCGCGAAAGAAAACAAGAAAACAAAGTAAGTAATTTTTTTAGGTTTACTAAATTCCATTGGTTGTTAGTTTGTTCAATAATCTTGTTTTTTGACGTTGGCAGGAAGGAAAAGAACTCATTAAGTCGGAACATCCTATATCATACTGATTGTAGAGAGGTAAAATTGGAAAATTGGCATGTCTGGTTTCATGATCTCTACATCTTTTAAGTGGGTTGATTTGGAGATGAGACTGATATTTGAATTGTTGAAAAATAGGTTGTGAAGACTGCTGATGAGGGTTGGACATGCAGGACTTATCCAAGGAAAAAAAAAAAAAAACAAGAACGAAAAAAGAAGAAATACAAAGAGAGAAGGAAAGCATCAAATGCTGAAATGTTGCGCACTTATGCTACTGGCCTGCTGGCTGCATGCCTGAAGAAGTATATTTCGAGATTGTTATTTTCACTTTACTATTGTTTTCTTTTTCCCCTCTCATAATTTCCTTTTGAATGTTGCTTTTTCAGTGGTGGTCAGCTAGTGGAAGATGTGTTGACATCTGGTTTATCAGCTAAACTAATGTGATATCTAGAGTACGGGTTTTTGGCGACACAAACACATACCAAAAGGATTCTAATGTATCGTCTTGACAACAAAAGGGGGTCCAGCATGGCTCTAAAGGCCAAAGAGGATGGCAGGGGTAGGTCAAAGCAAGTGACAGAGAGTTATCACATGGATACAGAGAGTATCAGAGCCTATCCTACTGAGAGTGAACGTGTTAAAGATCCCACATCTATGGACAACCTTGATGGATGAACGTGATAAAGATCCCACATCTATGGGGATGTGTACTGGGGTGATGAGGAACATCTTGATCCTGAGGTTGATGCATATGTTGCTGAAGCAGATAGTGACGAGAAGTGCAATATTAGGGAACTCTGCCAGTCAAAAGAAAAACCTGGTGGAAAATCTCATAGGGAAGAAGACTTTGAAGGAGTATTGATCGCAATCAAGAGGTAGGCCCAATGAAGGAGTTTCTGAGAATGCCTCTCCAGGTTCTGCCATTAGATCTGGAGTGGGACGGAATGGGAAAGAAAAGAGTCCGGTGAGAAGTCAAGAACCGAGAAAAGCTTTTGATGCTAAAAATGGTTTAGGTAGAAACAATGGCGATTCTTTCATCCTTGCAAGGGATGATACTGATGATTGCTTCCAACAATGCAAGGTTGGCTCCAAAGACATTACAGAGGTTGGTTTGAAAGCAATCAGAGCTGCTGTGCCGAAGCAAGAACAGCCCATGCACTTGCCTGTGCCATTAAGGCTGCAGGTACTGCTGCTGCTGAGGTCGTTAAGACAGCTGATTAGAGGTGAGCAGGTTCTCTCACCTTTCTAGGTTCTTGTTGAATGATTGTTTCTCATGAACTTATTTGTGCATTTCTTTAGTGCAGGAATACAAGAAGACGAATGATGAAGAAGCTATTGTGGTTGATGCATCCAGAACTTCATCCCACTGTTATGGATGCTGCTAGTGCAGTTGCTCTTGCAAGGTTGGTGGTCCTATGCTTCATGAGAGGTCTTTTACTGATGAAAAGACTCCTTGCGACTCCTAGAAATGCCCATACATATGAGGGATTCTTCCTGCTTATGAACTATTGGGTCATTTCAGGTAGTTTGTCCTGCCCATATTTTTTGTTGTTTCCACTTGCACTAAATTCTTTAAACACATTTTGGCATGATTTGGTTGTTTACTCTTTATTTTCTAGCTGCTTTGTATCATTTGTTGAGGATGGTTATTGATTCACTCCATACTTTTGCAGGTGATAATGGAGCGTGTTTGTTCTCTTCAGCCAAGCTTTACCCTCGATATATATATATATATATATATTTGGCTGCATAACCTCTTGGCTATCTACTTTGATTATATATATTGTGATCCAATCTGGAAAAACATTGGATAATACAGGCATAATGTTCATACCTGACCTTAATCTTGTCAGATTTGTACATGCTCTTTTTGAGATTATATTATGTTCCATTATGGGCGTGCAAGTACTATAGCAGCTAGTGATGCAGCCACCCCCACTTTGAGACGCATTAAAAGGGCATTCCTGCTGCTACTCCAGTTTCTTATCATTCCAGGTATTTGATAATCATTCTTGCCTAGATATATGGATCATGGTTTTTGTTTAATTTTCTGTTGATCAACACCACCTTATCCATACATATTTCAGGGTTTATCCATGAGCACCTTCAATCATCTGGATTAGCTGAGTGTGCATCTTTGCTTCTCAAAGAGGTTAAGTTATCACCAATTGGCTGCTCCATCATCCTTAGCACAACATGCATCTCGGCAGGAGTTGTCATCAATACAAATGCAATGGCCATCTGAATGAGCAACTTGTGGATTCTTGTTGGATAGACCATAAACAACAAAGCAAGCTTTTGTTCACAAAATGTTTCTGTAGGTGGAGATGTTTCGGGAACACCATTAGTGTCTACTAGCGAAGTCAAGTAGCGACCCAGACAATCAGATAAGAACTCCAATAGCGTTGCCAACGGAATGGAAATTAACAGACATGAAGGAAAATGGGTTTGGATCATTGGCAAAGCTGGTGAACGTACACTCAGACCATATCGATTCGAACTTGTTATGCACACCGTCTGTTGAGAGTTTGTTAACCAGTCCGACGTATTTATCCTCATGTCTGCCCTGAGCCAAGCATTCAATGTTTGCAGCACTGCGATCAGATTCATCCCGGCATTAAATCCTTGTGTATGATGATATGCAGTCTTGTCGATTGGATCTGACACTGACTGATACTTCTAATAACCCATCCCGACATGATCATGGATATGATCATGCATATTGACTCAATGCTGCTTTGGAATGGAGTTCTGTGGGATCGCAGGATCAATCTATCGATTTTATCAATTTACTGCCTATGATGGTGGGGGCTTCCCTTCTGCTGGGAATGAGGTATTTGTAATGTTAATTATATTATGATTTAAAGTTTTAATTTAAACTTGTAATAAATTCCTTGATATGAACAAAGATTTTCGATATCCAAGATGAGATGCATGCTTCTGCTGGATGAAATCGGAAGGCGCAAGCCAATAGATGATGACTCTGGTAACTTCTATCTTCAGGTATTGCTATTTATTTATTTTTAACATTAATATACTCCATCATATAGGGCCTTAAGATTTGAGTAGATGCTCACACTCTTTCGTTAAACATGATGAGAATGTGCTTTGTGTGTTTGTTTTTCGTTTAACTATATAAGCATATGCATACATTTTGTGGTCAAAATAGTAGAGTCATATATTTATATTAGTTTTGGGAGAAGTCGGAATGGATCCTGCAATTGTTCGTTAGGATTGTATATATATATATATGAAATTTAGGGTAGGATTGTATCCAGTTGGCTGTAGAGTGGGTTTTTACCCTCTGTCAAAACTTAGCTGCTATGCATTTGTTCTTTTTTAGAAAAGCTAACTTTTATCCTCAATTTCTCTTTCTGCAGAAGAACGAAGAATTTTTCGAATTGATATCTTCAAAATTTCTAGCTGAACGCAGCTATTGCAAGGCTTATTTACAGTTGTTTGTTAACTTATTAATCTATTTGTATGTATTGCAGACTCGTCCAGTTGAGCGCTATTTGCATGATTTACTCCAATATAGACTCGGTGTATTGCAGGTTGTAACTTTGGTTGCAAATCTATTGTGACTGCTACATTGACCAATGATTGGGTTGGTATAGCTGTCATTTTGAATGCTGCAAATGGTGCTGGTTTTGTTGAAGCTGAGGTAATTTTGCACATCAACCGTATGGTTTATTTTATGTGCCTCAATTATCTTTGAAAATTTTCATTATAAAAATTTTAAATAGTTCTGCTCATTATTTTTTTATTATTTTTAAATTCTAGCGTGGGAACATGTGCAGTTATTGCAATAGGGCAATTTGATCACAAAAAATGAAATAGTCGTAGTACTATAGAGCATCAATTTGATCCCAACAAAATGAAAAAAAATTACATACCAGTCCTCGTAATGCTTGTCCTTTTGCCCCTCTAACTCCCATTTTGCCCACATGTTCTTGATCAACCTCAAGTATAGATAATTATTACAATAATTAGCATACATATTGCATGTATACATGTACTAAAAAAATGTATATCTTTTATGATTATGCATGTGTTATCAATTGGCTAGATGTACTCAAAGTTTCTATTTTGTCTTAATTTATGTCTAATATGGATAGACAAAAGTTTACGATTTTGTTCGGACTATGTGGTTGCTTTTGTTGGATGCATCTTTTTGGAATTTGTGTTTTTGCATATTTATTTTAATTGTGTGATATGCGTACCCAATGCTTGTGTTTTTGCTTTATTTACGTGTTTGATATTAGTAAAAGTTTGTAGGTTTGTTAGACAATGTGGTTGCACGTGTTTGATATCAATAAAAGTTTGTAGGTTTGTTAGACCATGTGGTTGCTTTGAGGACTATTGTACATCTTTTATGACTGTACATGTCTTATCCATTGGGAGTAGTTCTATCCGAAGTTTGTATTTTTCTTTTAATTATGTGTCTGATATTATTTGAGGTAGGTAGACACGGTAAAAGTAAAAGTTTGAATTTTTATTTGAACTATGTGGTAGCTTTTCGTTGGGGGCATGTATGCCCTAAAGGTTGTGTATTAGTTTGGAATGTGTAGTTTTTTGTATTTGTGATGATGAGTATTTATTTTAATGTTTATTAATTTGAGTGCCTTGTAAGCTCGTAACAAGATTGGTTGTTTGCTTATTGTATGCTTTGAGGGCATGTACACTCAAAACATTCTATAACTTTTAATGATTGTGCATGTCTTATCTATTGGGGTAGTTGTATCTGATGTTTGTAATTTTGTTTTTAATTACATGTTTGATTATCATTTGTGGTAGATACGGTAAAAGTAAAATTTTGTATTTTTTATTCAAACTACATTATTGCTTTTTGTTGGAGGGTTGCATGTTAATTGTGTGCTTATTACGTAATAAGATGTGTGCTTATTGTATGTTTTGAGCACCTTTAGCACAACACCTATATTATCCATACTTCAGGCTTATCCATGGCAATCTGGATTAGCTGAGAATGCGGAAATTAACAGACATGAAGGAATGGGTTTGGATCATCGGCAAAACTGGTGAACATACACTCAGACCACCTGGTTTTTCAACATCAAATTCTGCTCGTAGAAGTGGTCTGCTGGTTGATTCGAACATACACTGAGGGCGAGGAAGACGAGATGATAATGACAGTGTGGTTCTTGAATCTTTCAGCAGCGATGATCTTCTGTGATCGATCCTTCTTAAAGCTGCAATCCTGCAGCTGATGGCATAGCTGAAACTCTGGCCTTCCTTGGCTGCTCCATCATCTTTAGCACAACACGCATCTGGGTAGGAGTTGTCATCAATACAAATGCAATGGCCATCTGAATGAGCAACTTGTGGATTCCTGTTGGATAGACCAAACCTATTCCAGCTCAATCTCTGCTGCTCGTAGTTCCTCGAAAAATCTGGACAACCCGGTGCCCATAAACAACAAACCAAGCTTTGGTTCACAAAATGTTTCTGTAGGTCGAGATGTTTCAGGAGCACCATTAGTGTCTATTGGGAAATCAAGTAGCGAGGTCCTCAGCGGCTCACTTTAGATTCAATTTCTGTTCAATATACAACATTACCTCGTTTTTTGTTCTTGCATCTTCATGTCTGCCCTGAGCCAAGCATTCAATGTTTGCAGCACTGTGATCAGATTTATCCTGGCGTTAAATCCTTGTGTATGATATCCGGTCTTGTCAATTGGATATGACACTGACTGATACTTCTAATAACCCGTCCGGACATGATCATGGATGTGATCATGCATATTCTTTTGTTCACTTTAACCCATCCGACTAAATGCTGCTTTGGAATGGAGTTTTGTGGGATCGCAGGACCAATTCATCGATGGAATGAGATATTTGTAAATGTTAATTATATTATGAACAAAGATTTTCGATATCCAAGATGAGATGCATGCTTCTGCTGTACGAAATCGGAAGGCGCAAGCCAACAGATGATGACTCTGGTAACTTCTATCTTCATAGTATTGCTATTTATTTATTTTTAACATTAATATACTCCATCATATAGGGCCTTAAGATTTGAGTAGATGGTCACACTCTTTCGTTAAGCATGATGAGAATGTGCTTTGTGTGTATGAGAATGTGCTTTGTGTGTTTGTTATTCGTTTTACTATATGAGCATATGCATACATTTTGTTGGTAAAAAAAATGGTAGATTCCCACTGTTTTATTTTACCAGTTTGGCATAGGTTATTGTTATCTTTTTATATTTTATTCTAGTTTCTTTCCAGCACTAGATGTCATACGGTTTTCAAATTTATGTTCCATGGTCTCACACTGTGTATTATTTGTTGGGGGCCAGTGTGCCCCAAATGCTCATAGCTGTTTTAATTGCTTGCATATATATATATATATATATATATCTTAGTATGTGTTCGAAAGCATGTGACAATATTATTTATGTTATAATGGTATGTTTTGAGGGAAAGTGACTAAAGATTTGTATATCTTTTATGACTATGCATGTCTTGTCAATTGGGTAGATGTACTCAAAGTTTCTATTTTGTTTTAATTCGTGTCTAATATGGATAGACTAGGTAACTAAAAGTTTACGTCTTTTTTCGGACTATGGTGGTTGCTTTTGTTGGGTGCATTTGTTTGGAATTTGTGTTTTTGCGTATCTATTTTAATTGTGTGATATGCGTATCCAATGTTCGTGTTTTTGCATTAATTACGTGTTTGAAATCAATAAAAGTTTGTATTTTTGTTAGACTATGTGGTTGCTTTGAGGGCATGTATGGCCTAAAGATTGGATATGTAATTTTTTGTATTTATGATTATTGTTGCATATTTATTTTAAGTGTGTGTAAAACATTGCACATATTTTATGGTTATACATGCCTTCTCGGTTGGGGTAGACTAATTTTTTATGGTTATACATGCCTTATCTATTGGGGTAGACTCACGCAATGCTTTTATTTTTATTTTAATTATGTGTTTGATATTGTTTGGAGAAAACACAGTAAAAATAAAACGTTTCATTTTTATTTGAACTATGTGGATGATTTTTTTTTTGAGATTGCATATTTGTTTGAATTTTTTATATTTGTGGTTGTTGTTGTGTATTTATTTTTGTTGTATTGTACACCTTTATATGATTGTGCATGTCTTATCAATCTATCTCTTATCTATCTATCTTTTATTATTGTGATTTTTTGTAGTTGTTGCGTATTTATTATAATTGTATACTTATTACTTAGAGTCCCCTAAAGCATGTAATAAAATTGGGTAAGGCCATGTGTATTCAAACTATTGTACATCTTTTATGATTGTGTATATCTTATCCATTGGGGGTAGCTCTATCCGAAGTTTGTATTTTGGTTTGAATTTTGTGTCTGATATTATTTGAGGTAGACACGGTAAAAGTAAATATTTGAATTTTTATTTGAACTATGTAGTTGCTTTTTGTTGGGGGCATGTATGCCCTAAAGGTGGGTGCGTATTTGTTTGGAATTTGTAGTTTTTTATATTTGTGGTGATGCATATTTATTTTAGTATATATTAATTGAAGCGCTTTGAAAGTTCGTAACAAGATTTGTTGTTTGCTTATTGTATGTTTTGAGGGCAAGTAAACATTGTATATCTTTTATGATTGTGTGCATGTCTTATCTACTGGGGTAGTTGTACCCGACTTTTGTAATTTTCTTTTATTTACATGTTTGATTATTATTTGGGGTAGATCAGGCAGAAGTAAAATTTTGTAGTTTTTATTCAAACTATATTATTGCTTTTTGTTGGTGACATGTGCCTTAAAGGTCGCATCTGTTTGGAATATGTGCTTGTTTATATTTGTGGTTGTCGTGTATTTATTTTAATTATGTGCTTATTAATTGGGTAATAAGATTAGTTGTGTGCTTATTGTATGTTTTAATGACAAGTATAATTAAAATATTTACATATTTCTATAGTTGTGTATGTCGTCTTATCTATTGGGGAAAATTTAACCATCAATCTATGGTTATGCGGACAAAACTCATTGTTGTCACGTGTGCACAAGCTTGAATCCAAATAATTGTTTGAAGCATATATGACGCCATCCTTAGCATTATATGATCTATAGGCCTCATTTTTTTTTCCAAAAGTAGTAAAACCTACGTAAGCATTATATGATCTATAGGCCTCAATTTTTTTTTTCCAAAAGTAGTAAAACCAACGTAATGATGGATCAAACGTTGGTGCCAAAATGAATATCATTTGGGATACTCGTCTTTCAAATGGCTCAAAGATATCCAAACAAGAGAATTAAACTACCAAACTTTTGTTAGCTTTATTATGGAGTTCAGTGGCGGAGCCAGGAGGTTGAAACTGGGGGGCAAAGGGAAGGTCGGATGGACCTCCGGATTTCACATAGCTCTGCTCCAACAAGGAAATTTAAGGGGCAGTCGCCATGTTTGGTCAATATATAGCTTTGCCATGATGTATGATAGTTTTTGTAGCCATCCAAAAATGTTTAGTTCTTTTCTCCAAACATTATTTTTTTTAAAAAAAAAAAAATACTTGCAATTATTTTTATTTTGAGAATATTTCGACTTTATAAATTCTTAATTTTTTGTTTTGTAAGTAGTTTTGCTTGAACAAAAAATTTCTCGAGTTGTGAGTAGTTTCCATTCATCTTCATACAGGAAGCATTTTTTTTTTTTTTATGCATGTGTTCTGCCCAATGGGCAACACGGAACAACCTAGTAGTCATAATGATTCGACTTCTCTTATGATTCCTTAAAAATCCTTCATGGATTAATAAAAATATTTGTAGTATCTAGGTGTGAAGGTGTCGATCCACAAACAAAACATGAAGCATGTAAAGCATAAATGCCCGTAGAAAATATAGATATTTCTATTTTTATCGGCTCAAACACTAGCTATACGTTTCTTTTTTACTAAGTTTGAGTTTATTACACATTAGAAGACCTTAAAACTTACATTTATTTACATAAATACTATTGCATCAAATTAAAACATAAAGATACAAAAGTACCCCTAACACAATTTAAATACTATACCTATTGCCTTAATACAAAATTATGGTACTTAACCACTATTCACTGTTTCGAAAAATTTTAAATTCAAAACAACCCAAATAACATATTAATACATTCTAGGATGCCGCATCAAATAAAGACATATCACAGTGGAACTCGAACATGAGATGGTCGTTTAAAAGCTTAATCTGTTAGTAATATGCATACCAGAGTCAACCAAGATGTACCAAGTTGAACACGGCAGTGGATCCCCTGAATAATATTGATTGTATAAATGCTTGTTTGTGTTTAAATGCGCCATTTCACGACAGGGCATCCCCTGAATAATATTGATTGTATAAATGCTTGTTTGAATTGAAATGATTTTTATGCAAGATAAATAAATGTTCTTTTGAATGAAAAGTATTTTAAAGATGAACCTAATAATAAGATGAATATAAAAGATTTGAGTACCTTTGGATTGTATTTCCGGACAAGAGTTGGGTTCGGATGAATGGAGAAAGCTCGATAGTTTATCTGTAACATAGTTTATCTATGTTTTCGATTTCTTTTATTATTACTTTTTGATGACGTGGACCCGCAGTCATCCACCCCACACCATCTGGCCATTCCTTACATGACCGAGTTCTTTTATTTTTTTCTTTTTAAAGAAATAGTTTTAAGTTTATTTTAAAATTTCCGATGTGTTTGTTTGGAGGTTTGCATTTTGGATTGAAATTTGAATAATAAAAAATTTGAATTGAAATATTTATAGGATGTGATATTTTTTAAGAGAATTTTTTTTTTGTATAGTGGAAATCTTCCAAAATCGTTGAAACAAACACATCTACCGTTTTGTCATATGGTTCAAACTAGGCAAGGTCATCATCATAGTGTAAGATTAGCACACAATAAATATATGCTATTATTAATTTCAATACAATAAATATATTCATGTACTATGAAAACATATATTTTCTTTATGTTTTATATGTTACGATTGAGACTAATCAATGCTATATATGCTGATTTTTCCCGGCCAACATTATAACCATCTCTTAGGGAGTGATTAGTCCTCACAATGATGAATTTTATTCTAGGATTGACTACTTACAAGTAGATATTTGAAACTACATCAACGACAATATCTCTAGTCTCATCTTACAAACATTTACGTAGCTTGGTAAATCTACTATAACGTTCGCAAGAATTATTACAAGTGCCCTCCCGGCTATTGATACGTTAGAGGGCATATATGGTTGAGATATTTTAGATATTTAGTTTAGATTTAGTAGTTTTAGATTTAAATTTGACCTTATCTTATTTAGATTTTAGTATATCGAGTCTATATATTACGCTTTTTTTTTTTTTTTTTTTATATTTTTATAAATAACAATGCAATTTTCTTAACTCCTTAGACAAAACCCAACACAACATAAGGAGTGATGTTGACTTACTGGAGAAGGTTTATTGAAAACCACAATGGACAAATTATATATATATTTCTATATGTATATATATATATATATATATATATGGAAGATAAAGAAATAACTACAACTTCAAAAGTGTAGCAAAATTAGGCTTCTTATACATAACTAACATTTACTCATTTGGCACTGGTCATTTTTGAACAAACATCATATCAAATACAATTTTTTCTCTTATAAACATTAAATTAAATATTAAATATTTACTTTTTTTCAAACTTCGAAAATTCCGAAAGTTTCCAAAAATTTATACATGTCTAAACGGACATTTGCATGCATGGCAAGGACGTCGAACGCTGAAGCTTACATACACATAAGCAGGTGCCACGTTAATTTTTATTTTTTGTTTTTAAAATAAATGAACTTTAAAATATGGAACAAAAATATTAGTTTCATTGAAAACCCACATGAAAGCTTCTAAATATTCTTTTTCTTCAAATTTTTAGATCTTATTTATTTAATGTTGAGTATAGTTTAAAGAAAACAAACAATGGAGAAACTGTAGTGCATTTGTTTATACTATATTTGTCGTAACTCAGACAAGTTGTTTAAAATTTTAGTGGTTTCAATTTTAATTTGCTTTTGTAGCTTACAACTATTTAAATTTGAGGTTCAACATATTATATCATACACGGGTATGGCAAGATTTGAGATCTAATTTAAATAAGAGTTTTGATTTTATTTTGGATTAGGTTGGGTCCAAGTGACATATCCGAAAATTGGAATACTCACTACAAGAAAAAATTATTTTTGTAACAAAATTTTTTGTCTCTAAATCTACTTTTTCAGTTACTAATAACATTAGAGACGGAATTAGTAATAAAATTACATTAGCTACGTAAACTTTAGGGACGAAATTCTGTTACAAATATATTATTTTTTTGTAGTGACTTGACATATTTAGTGCTAAATTTCTATTATTTTAGAATAAAATTATGTAATATATTCTAAACTTCATTTTAATAATAAATCAAAATTTTATTCTATGATGCGATGTAAAGCCAAGTTGAAGTCAGAAATGTACATCCAACTTCTCAAGCGTCTGTCCGTACAATTTATTGGTCTGCGTGCTAGAATTTTGATCTATTTTTTATGTACTTTTGTATATTATCTCTGTTACACACATGAAAATACTAGTGAAGATATCTAATTTTGCTGCTTCCACATAGATTATTTTGATCGAACTGGTTCACCTAATCTTCACATTCTTGTTTACTTTCTTGATTGTTCTTGATTTCCTAAATTCCGCAAGACTTTATTATCAGTGCTCTACTACTATTAATTGCATATTTAAGTGTAATGAAAGCTTAGTGTACCTACAGAAGAAAGCTTCGAAAAACAAAAAACATGTTTTGTTTTGTAGAATTGCTCGCAAGGTAATGTTATTCTCAATCTTGTTAGCACACTCTCTTTGAATGCATTTCAAATAATCTCCATGGTCATATTAAAATTTAATTTCTATTTTCATAATGTTAACTGTGATAATGAATTGTGTGTTAGAGTTTTTTAAGTTTATATACAATCGTAAATTAATTATGAAACAGTTTTATATTTAATTAAAAAATTTAATTGGCATAAATAGAAGAACATTATTTCAGAAAAAAAAAAAATCACAAATTTTTTAATTAAATTGTACATAAAATGCACTTATGTTTCACCAATTCATTCAAAATACACTTATGTTTCACTTGCCTTTGTATCTATTCCCTTCTAAAATTACTAAGATTTGTCCATTTTTTTTACTTATTAGGACTACATTTAATTTTAAATTTGTGTTCAAATAATTATTTGAATACATGCTCAATGTTGAAAATTTATTTATTTATTTATTTATTTCACTTTCATAATCTTTTGTCGACAGACAATGTACAACTCCATGGGTGGATTCCTTTTGAATTTCGAGAATCAAATGCAAAACAATCTTCAATGCCTAGACCGTCAAAATGAAAACATAGTGAAAAAGGAGTGTCTCATGGGTCCAAAATTAATACCACCATTTCCCAGTGCAACTAACAACATAACATAGATAGCCTGCCAAAATGGCTTTCAAAGCTTATCATAAAGGCATTGCTAGTATTTGAGAAATGTGCAATACATCAAGGCTAAACCAATCATAATGTGATGTCTCGGCTTTCCGGTATTGCATTGGATCGGGTTTTAACTCAGGACATGATGTCCTCCGATCCCAATTCGAAAGCATCTCCGTAACAATGTCATCCTTCTAGTGGATGAAGCGAGACAGATTAATTTGTTCAAAATTTAAGTTACATAATAGTACTTCATTTTAATGTCATGTTTACTTTACCAAGGTGTCATACAATGTTTAGTGCTAAATTTACTTCATTTGGTATTGCAGCATTCAAAGTAATTTCTATCATCATATCAGATTTATGCAATTGTATATAAAATCCACATAGGTTTCACCAAAACATGCACAATACACACTTGATCATACTTGCCTTTGTATCTATTCCATTGTATATATGGTGACTAACATTTGTGCATTTTCACTTATTTGGACTACATTAAATTTTAAAGTAAGTGTTTGATTAATTATACCATGGTCAATTGCAAACTTTTTTAAATTTTAATATTTCAGTTTCATAATCTTTGGAGGAGGAACAATATATAACTTCTTGTGTATGCACATGGAATTCAGGAATCAAGTTCGGAGCAATCTTCAATGTCTAGAACATCGAAATGAATGTGTAGTCGAAAAAGGAGTGCCTCACCCCTTCCCAAGTTAATATTACGGATAGTTACCTTTCAATTCCCATTAATGGACATTAGTTTTTAATTGATCAGAATGTTGTGCTTACATTGAAGTTACATTATTCTCATAATATTAATAAAAGATTATATTCAATAAAATATAATATTTATGTTGGAACTTTGTCGTGTTAAATTGTTGAGATGAGAAAATAAAGCAAATGAATCTAAGTTGATTCCATTACTTTGATAGGATTTGGTTCTACGATTTGATTGAGAGTATTGTGTTGTTCAAACCTATGGCGCAATCTCCCCTAAGAAAATTCGTCGATTTCTGCCGTTACTTCCACGATGAGATCTGAAAAGTAATGGATATTAATGGACATGAGCTCACAATCCTAATATATTATCTCCTATTATTAATTGGTTTCGTCACTCAATTAATAATTTACAGGATATCTGCACATAGGAGGTACGCTTAATCTCAGAGAAAATTGAAAAAAATATCTCACCCTTATACCTTATTATCACCTTTGTCCTGTATTTATTCCACTGGCAAAATATATCCTACATATTTGCAAAAGTCATTATTTATGTCATTTGCCCGCGCTTAACATTCACACCATGCACGGCCACACGTGGTTTATCCCATTGGCAAAATATATCCCACATGTTTACAAAAGTAGTTATTTATGTCATTTTTCCGCACGTAACATTCACACCACGCGTGACCAAATGATAGAAATAACGAATTTTGCAAATATGTGAGATATATTTTGCTAACGAAGTAAATACAAGACAAAAATGATAATGAGTTTAATCTACAATTGAATTTTTTAATCCAACAATCTACAATTGAATTTTTTAATCCAACAATTTATTTTCATAAAAGATTGCATCATAAAATATTGCATCGAAACAACTATGACACGGAATCAAATCACTCAATCCACTATTACTCAAACTCATATACAATTTGGTGAACTATTATAAAATGAAATAAAATAAGAAAGGTGATTGGTTGTTCAAAAAGTTCAAGTAATAGGGTATGCTTGGAAATTTTCTTATTATTTTATATTATTTTGGGAACATAAAATTCAAATGTTTGATATAATATTTATGTGGCCAAAATTCACCTAAAAGTAATATGATGAAAATTATTTTTACTTTTCATGCATCAAATGTGCTCTCGCAGCAACAATACCGATAAAAAGGCAATTTTCATAATTTGAATCATTTTTTTGGCTAAATACATACAAAGTATATTGAATATATACATAATCTGAATCGTTTATATATATATAATCATATGATATCTATTCAAATTGTCTAACAGATTGCTCCAACATCAACACATATTAGTCGGGGACAAGGTCAAATCGGCGGTCCAACTAGACAAAGCTCAAATGTATATTATATAGCTTATATTAGCAGGTAAGCCCCCTTTTTATTTTTTGACAAATATACTTTTTTTTATATTTATTTTTTTAAGATATAATAATAATAATAATAATAATAATAATAATAATAATAAAGTAAATCAATATTGGGTTGAGACATATAGGTCCAATCCTAACTCCAGTTGAAACAATCTATATATTGCCCTAGAAACAACTTGAGTATTTATGCATTCATATTATATTTCAAAAAGTAATCCTTGTAATATTTTTAAAACCTACATATATATATATATAGAAAATAAGTGTTTCTTGAGTATATATACTGAAATTTTTGAATTTTAAAAGTAAAAAAATAAAAAATAAAAAAAAGTATGGATAAAGTTTGTAATAAATACAAAATTAAGACAACTACTTCCGCCAGCTAATTTTAACACTGGTCGTATTTTGTTAGCTGGCTTTGATTTTCATAAAAATAAATATTTCTAGTTCTAAATACAATTTTTAAAAAAATAAAAAAAAAATACCTACAGCTCAGACTACAATTCACTTTATATATATAATATCATCTATCAACTCCTCATTTCAATCCTCCATCTCAAAATTTCTTTTTATTGGAAAGTTTGTCTTACTTCTAATTTCTATCAACTCCTCATTTCAATCCTCCATCTCAAAATTTCTTTTTATTGGAAAGTTTGTCTTACTTCTAATTTCTTGAGATGAGCTCTTCAATTCTAAGAGGTACGTGATGATTTTACTTCATTATGTTCTTAAATTTGTATTATTTGGCAAATTTGCATGATATATATGATTTCTCTAATCTTGTTTATGATTATTCATAATGTTTGGTTTTGAGCTAATTATAAGTGTTGATGTAATTTTTCAACAAAAATAAAGTAAAATTCAAAGATATAGAAAATATCCTTAAACTTGATTAATTAGTGCCTGAGATTAGGAATCTCTAAACACTGTATGGTACAGAAAATAAACTGGAAAATAAAAGACTGAAATTTAAAGTGGTGATCCCCAAATCTGACTTTGCTTTGTTGAAGTTGATTGAAGATGCCTTGCCAAATGATTATCCAAGCCTTTAAATATTCTCTGGGAAACCGTACCGAAAACCGTCACCCGAACGGTTACAACGTCTCCTTCCCAACCGTCTTCCAACCCTTCTCATGCTGACACGCGTCCCCAGCAGACCAAAATTATCCCTATATTTCACTCTTTGAGCCGACCACAGACCTTCCGCTCTTTTGGCCCGACTGCCAATCTACAATAGTATGGGTCCGACTGCCAATCCTCCCGACTTGCGAACCATCTGGCTTGAGGTCTTTCCGCCTTGAGGACTTCCCGACCTGAAAACCTTCCGACTTGAGGTCTTTCCGTCTTGAGGACCTCCCGACCTGAAAACCTTCCGACTTGAGGTCTTTCCGCCTTGAGGACTTCCCGACCTGAAAACCTTCCGACTTGAGGTCTTTCCGTCTTGAGGACCTCCCGACCTGAAAACCTTCCGACTTGAGGTCTTTCCGCCTTGAGGACTTCCCGACCTGAAAACCTTCCGACTTGAGGTCTTTCCGTCTTGAGAACCTCCCGACCTGAAAACCTTCCGACTTGAGGTCTTTCCGCCTTGAGGACTTCCCGACCTGAAAACCTTCCGACTTGAGGTCTTTCCGTCTTGAGGACCTACCGACCTGAGGTCCTTCCGTCCTGATGACTTTCCGTCTTGAGGACCTCCCGACCTGAAGACCTTCCGACCTGAGGTCCTTCCGTCTTGAGGACCTACCGACCTGAGGTCCTTCCGTCCTAATGACTTTCCGTCTTGAGGACCTCCCGACCTGAAGCCTTCCGACCTGAGGTCCTTCCGTCTTGAGGACCTACCGACCTGAGGTCCTTCCGTCCTAATGACTTTCCGTCTTGAGGACCTCCCGACCTGAAGACCTTCCGACCTGAGGTCTTTCCGTCTTGAGGACCTACCGACCTGAAGACCTTCCGACATGAGGACTTTCCTTAGTAATAAACCTATTTTCCTTGATTTCCTCATGGTGCCCTTCAGTCAGTTCAATCAACTCTATTGCCAGGCCCATTCTTCTTTTTACCTTGGGCTTTTAACCTAATTCTAAATTTCGTACGTAACAACTTGCCCGCCGCCAAGGGACTTTCAAACGCCATTTAACAATCAATGTTTGGAAGTTCATAAATCACCACCCTCTTGAAAAACTCCCTTAGCAACTGCACCAGTTACTGCAACACAAGCTTTTGTGAATCACAATCCCAAAACACTCTAACCATGGCGAATCAATACATTCCTGCCCTTCCCTTCGACGGAACCCTCCCGGAGGGCCCATTTTCAGCCTCGAAAGTACTAACTCCGGCGATCCGTCCATATTGCACTACTCCTGAAGATTCAAATCGGATGAGGGAAGTCTTGGAATCCCGAAATTCCTTGGCTATCAACAACCCTAACTACCAAGCAGTTCGCATTCGAGACAGCATCAAAACCCATCTCACGGACCCAAAAGATCCTTACCGCGCTTGGTATCGACGGGTAGCAGAACACTTCCAGACCCAATGGCGATCCCAAAAAATCGACCAAGCAATACTACTGTCCACCATGCCTATCAACCTGCATGAGAAGGTGCTGTTGGCCATGTCTGCCTTCTGGAATGCGGAAAATGGGGTTTTCCTCTTACCATCGGGCCCCTTTGGTCCAACTCTTATGGATGTGGCAATGATCGCGCATCTCCCAGTCGTGGGTGAAGACCCTGTGATGGGAGCCCTAGATGGGCAGGAGCCATCAGAAGACCATCCAGGATGGTCTTTACAAGGTGTGAAGGAATGGGGTTGGACAAAGTTCGCAACCGACCAACAAGGGGCGCCAGGGACCCCTGTGACCGACCGGGAGCATACTGCCTTTATTCTTTTTTGGCTTTGTAGGTACGTTATTGTTTCCCCTTCCAAATGTGTTCTTCCTTCTCATCTCGACCTAGCCATTCATATCGCGTCAGGTCGTTTTTCTCTCTTGGCACCCTGTTTTTAGCCAATCTGTTTGAAGGACTTACTAGAGTTAGCCTTCGTTTAACCGATAATGATAATAGGAAATTAGACACTGCCGCGTCGGGTCCTTTTTGGTTTTTAGAACTTTGGTTCCGGCTTTACTTCCCCAACGCGTTTAACTTAGGATCTCCGCCCACTATGCCAACAGCTGAAAAACATTTGGGATTAGCCCTTAACCGACTCTGCTCAGGACGCAATAAACTCCAATCTTCCGATCCAATAATAATCGCAGTTTTAACAGATACCCGCAGTAACTCTCGATTTTCTATGTATAAAAAGTATGCGGGCTATGCTCCCGACCATTTTTGGCCTTTTCCAGTACCAAATCCGCTTCCGACTCCTGAGCCTTGTCCTCATTCCACTTATCCTTTTGCCTGGGACGTTGCCCTCAAACCCAGGTCTCTTTTTAGTAGCAAAAAACTTGATAAAAAGGGGCAGAAAACCTTTTACACTTTTAATTATGAACCTCAATTCATGGCGCGCCAGTTCGGCTGTTGCCAAGGTATCCCTGGACCCGTCGCGTGTCCGCATATAATTTTTCAAAGCCCTGACCGACGAGTCCTACCGAATTCAATCCCTTCTTATATCTCCCAGCTCACCACGTATATAACTTCCAATTCTTATATTCCTTTCCGCTCCAACCCTGAGACTGTAGAAACATTCAATGAATGGTGGTCGGTTGTATGGCCCCTGATCTCCCCTGATGAGGGTCGGTTGCTGAACATACTCCTTCCCCCCCAAGGATTGGTTCTAGGGGCGGCTAGACATACTAGCACTCAACAACAAACAGCCGCCCCGGGGATCGGGTCTAGTGTTCCAACGCGAAAAAGGAAAGCGTCCCAGCTGCCAACACCCCCGACCTCTGGGGCCGACCAGCAAGCACCAGCGGACCTTGGAACTACGAGGACGTCCGCAAGGACCCGAACCCAAATAGGTAATTTTTTCCTTACAACCGTGAACCAATTCACTATATCTTAACTTTGATGTCACTCATTTCATTCCTCAGAACCGACTTTGGTAATACCAACCACACAAGCAACACCAGTCCCAGCCGACCATTCAATCGGGCCTTTGGTCCAGACCCATTTGCCAATGAGCAGTCGGGCGGAGGACCCGACGAGGAGGCAAACTCTTCCTCCCGTACCGAGGAGTGGTCGGGCCAGGCACCCGACCAGGAGGCAATCTTTACCAACAGTGCCTATAGAACCAGTAAGTTCTCTCATCAACAATACTTAGGATTTTAACGATCAGCCTTGGTATATTTAACAACAACATCTCCATGATTTTTTCACAGACACCTTCACCAATCGCATCAGCAGCAGGGGTCTCTTCAGACAGCGAGGGGACTACTTCCCAAATGGGTCGCCCGCCATACATGGCATCCGACTCATCCATTTCGAAGGAAGAACCAGGTGCCCTTGCCGAAGCTGACCCTCAAGATGACGTCCCTGATGCCGCTGATCTTGAAATCGTCCAAGCGGATGCAGACGCATTGGGAACCGAAAGTCCCCCAGCTGCGGCTATCCCAGATGCTCCAGAGATCCCGGCTGCAGCGGCACTAGACGCAGCCGCCCAACCAGCAGCGGCGCTACCTCCAGCAATCGAGTGGCAGGCAGAAGAACCACCTGTGGCAGCCCAACATCCAGAAATGGAAGAAGTTTCTTCATCCGATTCGGAGACTTCTGTAAATTTGGTAAGATTACACCAATCCATGCCACAATGTTTCTTTCGGAAAACACTAACTGTTTTATATACCACGTTCCATAGGGACCCAGGTCGGCACCTCAGCGACCATACGCAGCAGCCGACGAGTCGGCTGCTGTTATACCAGTTGTCTGCCCTACTCGACCGACCTCATTGCTGCCCCCCTCACTGATAGCAGTCCACCCAGAGGTAACACATATCTTATCTGAATAAATTTGCACCTCCCTTGGAATACTTATTGACATTGTAGGACTTGCAGGGGCCTTCGGACTTAGCTGTCCTATCGACTGTTCCGGTTCCGGCGGAGGCCCGAACCATATTCACTGAGGCCATTAACCATCCCCTGTCAGAATTGAGATCCGACTTATTGGACAAACTCATTCAGACGGTTGGTGGCCTTCTTTTTTACACTCCAACGGAATCGCCAGCCGTCCCCATTCTGCATCGGCTGATGGAAAGACTTACAGAGCTCAAGACTGAAGTGTTAGTCATTGGACTCCTGTCAACCGAAACCCCCCAGCCCGACTTCGATCAAACAACGCTGGAGAATTCTTTGGCTAAGACCCGAGAATCCCTTCAGCAGACTACTGGAAGGCTGGGTGGTCTCCTTAGCACGAAAGCTCAAGTCGATGAAGCTATTCAGAAAAAGGAGGCAGAATTGCGGGAGCTAAAGAAGGAACAGTCTACCCTGGATAAGCAAATTACCAATGAGCAGCGTCTGCTTGAGAAATATACCAAGAATGAGGCTGAATTAGATCAAGAGCTGAAAACCCAAGCTCGATCCCAATTCATCCGAAGATATCAGACGGCTGCTAATACCAGAAGGCTATCCAGGGATGAAACCAAATGGACAAATATAAAAACTGCTTTAGGGGCACTTTTGTAATACCTTCCCCTTTGTAACAACAATTGACTTAGTAACCCATTTTTTCTTTCTTCTCTCAAAACAAGGATCACCTTTCAATTTCCAACTTTGTAGGAATCGAAACAAACTCCTTCTTTAAAAGAATATTGTTTCTCACATTTTAAGAAACACATTCCAAGGCATATTTTGAAAATCAAAACACTTGAAGTGTTAACAAACATGGCGAATGACCGACCTCATGTTCCATCAAGCAACTGGGAAGGTGTTCTTCAACCCTTCTTTGTAGGTAATCACCCTATTGGAGGCCATGCAGAAGACTTGTTACATATACTCAAGCAACTAGACTTCAAATTCCGATTCTCCCAACGAGGAAGAAGAACCATTCATCGCGTCATCCGCCTGATGGAAAAAGTCATTGAGGGGTATGAACCTCTTCGTGACATCCTTAGCCGCATTCCTGATCTCCATCATCACATGGAAATGATAGAAAATCACGCAGCAACTATACTTCCAGATCTTGGTTGGGATAACATCTTTTCCAATCAACGAAAAGTCTTCTCAAGATTACGGACCATTGTTGATCGTGAACATCAAGCCATAACAGACATGCAAGCACGTACCCATCAAGATTTAGATGAAATGCAAAGCCAATGGGAAAGGTACCGACCAGATTTGGAAGATCTTATTGAAGAAGAACCAGAGCTAATATCCACTCACTGGGATGAAAAGTCTGATTCAGAGGCAGAAAATTTCTCACAACTACACGATGACTAACAGAAATGAACCTTTAAGTAGGTTCGAACCCCATAAATGGGTTCTGAATAATATTTTGTTTCAGGCAGTTTTGTTATCTGAAAAGGCAGGATAATACCTCTTCAGATATTTAGCATTAATACAATCATGTACTCTTCTACCTTCATGATTTACAATAATGAACGCGCCATT